GAGATAGAGAGAAAGTATCTCGAGGAGAGATAACATTTTGTTTATGTATTCCAGCGTCACTCGAGCTATATGAAACCATATCATTCGGTTATCAGCCAAGAGATTAGACCTTATTAACATAATTGCATTCAGAAGCGTATCTCGCTCTCACAAAGATGTTAAATATATGCGCGGGATATGGAAGTAAACATGAATGTTTTCGCGAATAACACAGTAATTTATGAAAACGTGCGAAACGTTCTCCTCGTTGTAATTCTTAGAATATCAAAAAAAAAAAAAAAACGTTCTTCTCTCTCTCTTTCTCTCTCTTTCTCTCTCATAACAGGCGTAGATTAAATATCTATTTACGTGTAATTATAAAAAAAAACGTGTAATTAAAAAAAAGCTAAATGAAAGAAAATTACGTTTAAATAAAATATCTCACAACGAGAGCCTGTCTGTTTAACAAGTTAAGCAAGGACATGTCGCAGAGAGGCTGCTGCCACAGCTAATTTGCAGAATCTCCGTCTCGCAGTCGGTTAAATCATTCCGTTTTAACAAGAGCGTCTTGGGAATGGCGCTATTATTCTCTCGAAATGGACGTGAAACGCGAACGTAAACGGCGTTCAATGTACGGCTAATACCCTTGTAATATCTTCCAGTGTCTGAGACACTCTCACGGAACATAAAATTCAGTGCTGAGTTTGAGAGACATTTGGAACGTATCGCGGATACACGAGTGCACGTGGATAAGAATACTCGTTTTTTCTTTCACATCTCTGGTTTTTTCGTCTGATAATGAAATGCGTCGGGGGAGAGGGGGACGGGGTGAGAGGGTAAACGCAGGAGCATTTAATTGAAAGATCTTTTTCCAACAACAATTTGTTTCCCATCGAGCAATTTCCGTTGCACTCTTTTCAAAGAGTGAATTTTATCCCGTTTTCTTTTCCACGTGTCTACGTTTCGTAACGATTTTAGCTTCAAGATTAAAAAAAACCGGAGTTTGAAAAGAGAGAGAGAGAGAGAGATCTGATGTTACAATTTTTCTACAAGTTGTAATCGCATCCCTCGTTACTTTTAAAAAGAAACCCGGCCAAGCGGCAACGCGCGTGTAACAGATTTCTAGAGACGATTTTGCGCGCGTCCTGGGGGAAATTAAGCGTAAAATTAACACACACACACACACACGCGCGCGCGAAATAGCGCAAATTCACTCCGCGTGTGCGTTTATGTACGTTGCGCACTTGGTCAATCGCGGTTAAAGCACAGAGAAACAGATGCGCCGTTAATAGCGAACTGTGAATAGTCATCGTTGCGGTTCATCGTTGACAATGACGGCGAAGGAACAATAACAGCAGACGCATTGTCGATTGCGTTCTCGTGAGAGGGCACGCGACGAACAAAAGCCATCGTTCCCTGCCGCGCAAGCGGGACAGAACCCGGATACTGTTTCCACTCATTAACGACGCGCGTCTTCTCGCGGAAACAAAGAAACAAACCTCATCTCGTCTTTGCGTCCCACTTGATAACGTTTCTGTCGGAATCGCGCAGACGACGGGATCGAGTTACGTAACAGAAAAAAAACTATAATATCGCCGTAAGGTTTTTCCGAATGACAATTGTTCTTGTGTTCTTAATTTAAATTCTGTCATCACAATTACTGTTATTATTATTATTAGGTACTTCGCAAATGTCACACGCCGCGACCGAGTTTAATCGGAGTCTAATTCCATTAAATTCGCACGCGCGTCTGACGTCAGAGAGAGAGAGAGAGAGAGAGAACAGATGTAATACTATCGTAGCTATGCGGAAAATCCTGCAATATCCAGATGTAATTGAATGCAACTGTGTTATTATTATTACACTTATGGAACTTTCGTAATTAGAATTTGCGGCGGTCGTTACATATGAGAAAGATCGCGCGAGGAAAAGACACACACAGACGTGATAAAATTCGTGTGCGTGTGTTTTCTTTGTCAATACGATGATAATGATGATAATAAAATATTCGCCTTAATTATCTACATGCGGTCTTTGACAACAGAAATATCTCTCGCGCGGAAATGAAGACGAGCTCCGACGTGTAAGGAGAAACCTCGTTTTAATTAACACATCCGTTGGTAGAAATGTAACGCCATTATTATTAAACTTAATTATCCTTAAAAGTCAATCAATTATCTCTCGCGTCTATCGCGTAACAAATGTTTTCGCGAAGCTGTAAAATACGCGGCGTATAATATTCGTTTCTGTAAAATCCCTAAAACTCTTCAACTAAAATTTAATGCAAGATCCTTGTTGCCGTAAAATGAATCCTTAACGCCGTCGCGCGATAATAAATCTCCGGCGAAACTTTGCAGCATCTTGACGTACTGAGCTGCTCCCCACGTACATTTCAACTAAAATCGCATTGTCTCGGCTTTCCGCGGAATTGTTTTTTTGTGTCACTTGGCCGTGTGGCATTCGCGAGCAATGTACTTGCGTCCTCCATTGGGGAACCGGAATTGAAGAGGGCAGCTCTTGAGAGCGAAGAAGACTAATTCTGCTAATTACGACCGGTTGCTGTTTCAATAATTAGCTTCTCGTCAAACGAGAAGGAGGAACTTTGTGGAAAATCATTTCGAGTGGTGGAAATTCTTCGACGAGCAGTTGGCAGAAAGAACCGACTCTTCGTGTTCCGAGCGAAAAAGAATAATTTTACAGACTGCATAATTTGAGTCAAGTAATACTCTCGGAATATGAAGCCGAGAACGGGAAGAATTTAATTCCTCGTATCGCATCCACAGAACCGCCTGTGAGATTGTAATTTTCTGTAAATCTGCGAGAGTTTTTTTAAACGGTCTTGCATTCGGTCCGCAATTCCCGCGCGAGAGCGCGCGTTAATTCCGCGACTCCGCTCGGCGCAAAACTCCGCTTGGCCGTGGTCACCACTTTCTGTGGCAACAATATCACCGCTTGTTAATTAACAAACCGCGATACCATCCGCGGATATCATCTCGCCTAATTGCGAACGCGTCAAAGCGCGTCGCCGCGCTCGGACCAAATAACCGGACCGGATACATGCGAGTCGGCGACGAGCCGCGTCGACTAGCTTGTTGTTCGACAGTGGTGTAGTGGTCGTCGCGCAAAATGCTCGTGGGACAAAAGCTCCCCCGTCGGGAACAGGCCGGGTTGAATGCCGGGTCCGGCGACAGAGACTCGTTTAATTGTGGAAAACAAAGGATCGCTCGAGCGCGTACAAGAGCGGCGCGTGTGCGCGACGGTTAGTAACGAAACTCTAACTTGTTGATATCTCACTTCACTAAGCGAGAAGCGAGTGCTTTTATTATATAAAGAAGTGCTCGGGGGAATAATAATCTCGCGCTTTCCCCCTTCCGTCCCCCCTCGGTGTCGAGATCCCTCTTTCGGGAGTGAATCGGCCTTGTCCTGTATTTACCCTCCTCCGTTTAAACGGGACGACGTCGAAACTTGCATTCTCAACATTCGGCGTAGTCTCCGATTAGAGATGCGGATTTAGAATTCGGAGAGCTGTGCGCGGTGAAATTCCCGCGCTGCCAAAGACGCTTGTCAAATATCAGAAATAGTTGTCGGGAGCGAGTTCGGAATTAGTTTGCGAGAAGCCTAGCCTGGAAAAGCGCCGGGCCTCCTCTACTGCGCGCGAACGGAAAATAAAGCAAATTGCGTAAAAGGAGCAGAAATTCCGTTTCTCTCTTATTTTCGGGGATTGTGAAAATAAATGATCGCGCGTTAGACGCCTACGTGCCTGCGGTCTCTACTTTTTTTTTTTGTGTGTGTTTTTTGTTTCCTCATCGATTCCCTTAAAATCTTCGAAAACGCGGTGGAATTTAAAAGTCCGAAGAGAGAACAAGAGGCATTCTGATTACACGCGCAAACTTTCTTTATCGCGTTACACAGAGAGATAGCTTCTGATAATAGCGGCCAAGTTGCGAACTTCGTACTTAATTACGAACATTTTTAATTACGATTGTAATCTCTCTTGCAAGTTCTTACGTTAACGGCGAGCGAAGTCGTATATCGGGAACGTGTACAAGCGCAGTTTTTTGTCTCAGACGTAATAAGAAACATACGGAGAGACCGTAATTAAATGTTCACAAGAAGCTTCGATCGTGAAGATTACAAATCGAGGAGTCATCCGCAGTCATTCTTTTTGTTCCGGGGACACAGCTTTCGGCGAGCGAGCGATTTAATAAAGAGCGCTCGGCTTGAAAAACAACGCGAAATCGCATTAGAGCGCGCCTGATCGCTTTTTTTCCGCTTTATTCGTTGGTTTTTAGGATCGGACGATGATCAATTTTTTTTTAACGACGGCAATAGCTTCAGTGAATTGTAATTGTTGCGCAACACAAAAAAAAGTGGCAATATTTGCAAAATTAAAGTACATTTTTTCCCTTGATTGTATTTATTTGCAAACTCATAAAAAAATTGCGTGATCACACACGCTCACGCAGGATAGGACAATTTTATAAAATTCAAAGAGAATTTTTTTTTGTTTTATTTGTTTTTTTTCATAAATCCTCTACGCAACCTTTACGTAACGTTATTTAATGACAAAAACATTTCACATTTACCGTTTGACGCAGATGCGATGTATGATGTTCAGAGAAACATTAGCGCGCACACATATTTACGCCAACAATTAATGTTACTAATGAGCGCACAAACGGACTATGTAAAATAATTACGACTTTCTCATCGCGAATAAATGCAAATAACACAAATTAATAAACGCTCGGACGAGCGAAAAATATTGAATTGAAAAATACGAAAAGTTGGAACAATGAGATCTGAAATAACGCGGTTATTGATGTGTTTCAGATTCTCCATTGTTCGAACTTCGTTCCGCGCGCTTTTCGATCGCGAATAATGCGCTTCTGTCGCGTCTCCAGTATATTTCTCCAGTTAATAAAACTGAGTTACTCTCGCCCCGATGCCACACAAAGCGCGGCAACGTCCACTCTCGCAATGTGGAAGTATATTATAATTAGTGGAAAATTGCTTTTCAGCTCGGCGAATCGCGCGAGTCGGGGGAAAATGTTCGGCGACTAGAGGGAGTTTGGAGAGAGATGCACCTGAAGCACCCTATTTTCAATTCTGCAAGGTAACACATCGACGTTCCCACACCCCCGCTTCGCGATGTTATATATATATAAAAAACCACGACGACACACTCCGGTTCCGCTTCCTCCCGCGTTGGTACAAGACCTAACTTTTCGTGTGTGTGTGTGTGTGTGTGTGTGTGTGACTAACAAGAGCAAATCCTTTGATCGATGTTGGCATCGCAGAACCGCAAGCTTTAAGCTCTCTTTCTCACTCTCGCGAGAGAGAGAGAGAGAGACGAGCTTTTTTTTTAACGTGACGCAACGCGAAAAGAGATCGACTAAAAAAGAACGACGCGTTTAGGAAATTCGAATAAAAACGTGCTCGTGAAAAAAAACCCGCGTTTATTGTCATCATCTCTGATTTATCGTCTCGTCTTTCCGCGCGCGTTTTTTTTCTTTCACAGCGCGATAAAATGTAACGACAAAAATATACGCGCGATTCACGTATGTAGATGTTGCGCGAGAGAGAACGCGCGCATACGTTTGCGCTCGAAATGGAAGTAAATAATAAACAGTCTCTAGGCAAATAAGAGCTAGTCAGAGGATGACAAATCGAAAATACGAGACATGCATATATATATATATATGTACACGTGAGAAAACCAGAATTCATCGTGCTTCTGATTTATTTCGCTATATTTTTTCGCGCAAATGCCTGAACGGGATACGGGATGCAAAGAAGAAAGCGGAAAAGAACGCGCACGCGTTCTCGCAATAACGTGATTTCGCTAACGAGATAATATTTGCAAAGATTATCAATTCAATTTGTCCTGCGTGTATTATATCTAATTTTTAGATCCCGCAACCCTCGTGGGATTGTAAATATACTTTTCTTTTGAATTACAAATTACTTTATATTTCACTTTGAAATAACCTCGGAAATTCATTTACATTTATCGGATATAACACAAATGCGCAACTCTGTTTGTATAAATTTGTTGCTATCTCAAAAGGATGTTTGATTGCTTTAATTAATTAATGAGTCAGGTTTCCGCGTCGAGTAACATCACAATCGCGAAATTAAACAAACGTTTCATTTCTCTCTTCTGATATGCAAGATAATTAATAGAAATTTGTAATTAACTTTTTTATGTAATTGATTTTTATCGTTTACTTTTCTCCGAGCCGTGGAAAAAATATCCGAATTTTATTCTTGTTCGTACAAAAGGTGAATAGATGGAAAGGCGAGAGAAAAAATATCCCGATCCCGCGCCGCGCTCGCTCTATTTGTCACTTCGCAACTTCCGTTCGTTCTCTTCGTGAAAATGGAGCTCAACGACGCCGAAGTGTGTGTGTGTGTGTGTGTGTGTGTGCACGCGCGCGCACAACGAACACTTTCGGCGAACGCAATATCGTTTGTGAAATTGGAACCTTAAATTGTCACATATTTGCACATTGTTCCTGTGACACTATTTTACATTCTTAGTGAATAACTTTTATCATATTCGAACAGCACACAAGTTTTTTTTACTTTGTCGCTATGTAATTTTGTCTGGGAAAAATTTGTATATCACAAAGTATTGAGTCTAGTTAACAATAATATAAACTTTACGTTATTAGTTTAATTCATTTTTTGCAAGTTTTAACTCATTTGTTGCAATGTAGTTCGAACAAAATGTCTGATTTTAATGTTACACATTATAATACTCGTACAAGTTTGAAAATGAGTTTCGCAACTTTCTTCTATAACAAAAGGAATTTAATATCTTGTAGAATATCCTTTTTCACGTGTAACTTGTTTCAAACATAGAGACGTGGTACAAATTTTTTTTTTTTTTTTATTATAATATATAATAAATAAAGATGTAACGTAATATAATATGTATAAAAAAATATATACTTTTGCGCGTACGCACACGCACACGCACACACGTATATAGATGTACATAACACGGGGTTGCGTTACTCAACAATAGAGAAATATGTAGATTTTTTATTACATTTGCCAACAACTCACTCTCCATATAAATTATTCTTTTAGTAGAAAACTTCGCCAGCTATATCATTATCGTCACAAGTCACGTAGTAGATTTTAATAGATCGCGTTTGAATATCTGCGCGATCCCGAAAGTAAGAAATTAAAACTCTTCTCTCCCGTTCGGAAAGAAATCGCATATTCCGCTCGCAAAGAGAGAAAGAGAGAGAGAGAGCGAGAAACTTCGAGAGAAGTTTTAATAACAATAAAAAGAAAAGGAATGAAAAAAAAAGACGGGATATAAAAGTAACGGGAAAAGTGTGCTAAAATTAAAGAGAGAGAGAGAGAGAGTTAAGACGAAAGGATATGGTCTCGAAGAGAAGTAGTGGAAGATGGGAGGAAGCGCGAAAAGAAACAGAGAAACGTTGTTTCCAACGGTCATTATCTTCTAAGCCACGGCCACGTTAAAGCGAGAGATTTTCCTTCTCTTTTTTTCTTTTTTCACAGGTGACAAACCCCCGAGAAGAAAAAAAGATATAAATATGCCGGTCGGCGGGCGGGTCGCTGGTAAAGTCGGCATCTATAGCTCCCACTACAATGGTAACGTGGGTGTGGATATCATTCTATTAGGTACATATATTGGGGCCACATTTATACCAAAGCAGTTCATTTTTTTTCTTCTTTTTCCCGATGAGCAACCGGCTTGTGTGTAAATCAGTATCAGCAAACACAATTTTTGGAAACATGTCACACACAAGCGTAACACACACGTACATATAAAGTACATATATGTATATATATATACATACGTAAAGATGTAAATAAATTACTTAACGTGCTTTAGTATATTTGTGGCACATGTCGTTGGCAAATTGGTGGCGTAATTCTGTGACAGGACTCGCAGAGAGGACTTTTCTTCTGTGTTCTATTCTTAGTTTTTTTTTTTCGTACATCAATTAATTACACACAATACAGATTACACCGAGAAGTTTTGTATTTTTTTTTTGTCGTGAGAAAAGTAAATTAAGTTTTTTTTTTTTTTTTTTTGTGGGAAAAAAAAAATTTTTTTTTTTTTTTTTTTTTTTTTTTTAAGTAAACTTTCTGAAAGAGAACGAATTAAAGTCCTGTCGAGAATGGAAATATTGCGAGTGTTGGTTTTGCGATGATATTTCCTCTTTCTCGGTTGTGAAACGTAAGTACAATAATAATATAATTACTTGAGTATAATTAGCTATATTTAAAACGTGTAAGTTTTGTCGTTTGTGAAACAAAAAACTCTTGTGTTTTTGATTTTGTGTTTGTTACTTATTTATGTTCTGTCAAAATTGCGCAAGACTCCGGATGCAAAATTGGCTCATGCAAATACTTCGTAAGCTTGCGCGCGTGTTGTGTGTGTATGTGTGTATTTTATTACGCCACTATAACGTCACAAGTGCATGAAAAGACGCTTTCATTGCATGCCGACGTAGATAGACGACAAATTTTACTTACGTAGCGCAGTTTTGGCACAAGCGGGCGTAAATACGAAATCGTTGACGAGAGATCGATATAACGCGACCGGAATTGCGCTAATGTTTGCCGGATGCGGCGTGGGGAATTTGCGAAAATGACGACCTTGAGACCTGCCTTTTGGCCGCCAAATAGTGTGCGGCAGCGCTGCTTTCTCATAATTCATTTCAAATAAAAGTCACATCGGATCTTCGGCATTATCTACTTTACGATTGGATTTTCTCCAAAGTCTCGCGTGACTTATCGCGCGACCTTTGCGAAAATAAAGACACTCTCGCACAATTAAAATATAAATTACAGAATAAGACCTTTTTTGTAAATATGAAGTTTGTGTTCGAATCGTCGAATCGAGAGAGGTGAAGAATTTATCGAAGTTGGGGAACTGTGATAACGATTCTGTAAATTTTTTGCCCGGAGAGAGATTATCTCGGTAGCGGAAGTGCTTCACGAGTGCTATTTATAGTTGGAAAAACTGAAAACTAGAATTCGTGTTTTTGCGAAAGAAAATCTCAAAAGAGATCCAGCCCGAGAGAGCTTCACAAACTTCCTTGCTAAATCGATCGTTTATGAAAAGCGCATCCCCGGGATGAAACGAATTCACTGTGACAAGCAGAAAACTAGGTTTCATTAATGGCAAGTTATATAAAGATATCGTATATATATATATATAATAGATAAGACGGGGCTCAAACGTCGTGTAAATCCCGATCGGGGCAAAGACGCATGAGGTTTAAACGACCGGGATTTACAAAGGCTTACGGTCTCGGCACAAATCGCACTTTTAAGCGCGCCAATCAAACTTTCAAGCTTGTTTAATCCTCGATTACATAAACGCAGCGTTCTGTACTGTATATTATCATTTCCGCGCACATGTCGTTTCAATTTCCAGAAAATGCCGATTTTATTGTCTTTCCAATCTCGTCAACTAGTACTTCAGCTAGTATACGAATTTCTTTCTCAAAAAAAAGAAAAAAAAACAAACAAACAACAAAACAGAATTTGAATAATCGCATGATAAAATATCGTCGCAAACTTTTATTGCGATGAGAAATATTATTCAAAAATTCCCCACGCACGCGAGAAATGAAAGTTTCAACGATGCGCAAGAGAGAAGCTCAAGTGTCGCGAGATAAATTCAGCATGATTTCAGGAAAGGGCTACAGCGGCATAAACGAAGAGATCATCTGGATCAGCGTAGGGATGGGGATCACCATAGCAATATTGATCACCATAGCGCTGTGCTATATCGCTCGCGAAAAATGTCGCAAACGACACGAGGGCTATGTGTCCTGACGTATGTTCCCACCACCCTCGTGGGCGTCCTGGTCGTTTACCCCGACGACGCCAGGAATTCTTTTCAGTCCGACCACATCGAGAGGCAAACCGCGGGCTTATTACATTACCGTCTAAAAATTCACTCGTCTCGCGACTTCGTGACCTTTTTCTGTCCCCGCGCGAGGAAGAGCCGCGTGTGTACGAGGAGGTTTGCTGCGCGCGCGCAAAATAAAATAAAAATAAAAAAAAAAAGAAAGTATAAAGAGCAAGAAAATTGAATTGTAAGGAAGCGCAAAGCGTATTGCGTCCCGATATGAAAAATGGATAATTTAAAGAAAACAATTTGTTTTTTTCTTTCAACTGAAAAAGTGTAACAACAGCATTCACTCGGGATGGTTAAAACACACGAGAAAAATGTTTGATATCGCGCGTGTGTATCACTGAAACTTGGAATAAAAACGAATAAACGACAAGAAACTCGCAATTTATCGATTAACACTTGCCGCGAGCGCGTGAAAGATTTTATTACTGTACTAAGCGCGTTCTTCTCGCTTCGGGACACGTTTAGTGCGCTATTTTCGCAATGGATTCCCGCGGCTAATGCCCAATATCACACGCGGCGCGACATGGATTCCCGTCAGAGAACCGTCGTCGTTGAAAGGGAGAGTAATTTTCGCGCCATTACCCACAATGGCGTTTGAAGGACTTTCGAGGTCTATATACGCGCGCGGCTCGCGCCGTTATTGCTCTAACGACCTAATCGAGGTCGAAGTTGTACGAAAATCGTCTCTCGCGCGATATTCGCAACTTTCACATCTAGGTGTGTGTAATCGGAAGAGAGAGAGAGAGAGAAAAAAAGACGTTCGTACGCGTCCAGTGCGTAAGAAAGGCCCGGGAAAAGAAGTCCTTCGTGCAAATTCCATATCTGATCGCGCATCTGATTGGATGTAACACATACTTATGTGCGAGATGTTGCGTTTCACACATGCATCTACACAGTAAAAAATTGTGCGTCAAAATGTAGAACTTTTCTTGTGTTACGACGTTTTGATTATTACTTCAATGTAAAATTAACATAATACTGATATGTTATTATTTTTTTAATCTTTTCACGTGTCAAATTTATGTTAACTTCACAAATTAACATTTTTTGCATGTCATTTAAAAATGGAATATTGTTTAAGTGCTTTTAACACAATGATTTCAATTAATCTAGATGTTTCAAAGTCAATTTAACACACTGAAAAAATTTTTCAAATCTTTGGCCACATTGTACAAACTAAAATGTTTTATTAACATTTCTTACGAGTTACTGTAACTATTGTTTTGTGCAGTTTTAATTATTTTATATGTTATTTTTACATCACGCTTACAGTCAAAATAACAAATATAAATGTAAAGTATTGTGTCAATTATTTAACTTTACTAGTTTGTCAATAAGTGACTCACAACGAATAAGTTGTTTTAACTTAAAATTTAGAGTGGACCTCCTGGGACATGCAAAAAATGTTAAAATTAACATTTTTTTTTTTACTGTGTATATATAAAATTTCATTTAATTAAATACAATTACGTAAAATAATATAATTACGTAAAATTTTTCGTATGTAATTAAACACAAGAGAATTTGTCCACGTAAAGGACTTTTTTCCCCCGATGTGTGTAGGCGAGGTATATTGATGCGGCCTATAAAAACCAAGAGACTTCGATCTAATTGCGTGATCATCAAACAAACGCGAAAGTGTACGCGTCGTGCGGGATCGAGGCGATTTTTTTTTTTTACGAGCATGTGCGATAAACGTCTTTCACGAACGCTTGTCCGCGGCGACGTCGCCCGGAGAATGTTCTCTCGTTATTTTCATTCGGCACTTTAGCACTCGGAAAGGAAGAGGGAGAACAAATAAAAGCGTCTCTCATCAAAGTGTTCCCGAAAAAAGCAGAAAATTATTCTCGTTCCAAATAAAAGCGCGCGCTGATTTTTACGGCTATTACGATCGTCGTTCACGTTCGCGCGCGCGCGATTTCATCTTTTTATCGCTATGAATCACGCGCGGCTCCGAAGTTCCAAATCTGATTTGGTAACACACAGTCGCGCGCCGAGAACATTATTATTCCTCGTGTCTCTCTTTGTTCGCCGGGATTTAAACGCGCGTTGTTTCGCGGGGAGAACATCCTCTGAATGTAAAATTAGGCGATAGATAACAATTCATATGTCGTTCGTGATATTGTTATTCGGAATTGGTCTTTGTTATCGGCGCGTCGGCGAGATTTCAATGCTCATTTGCGTCACACCGCTGCTACACGTGGCGCGCGATAAAACCGCCCCTCTTCTCTCCGGTATCTCTATCCCGTTCGATTCCTGTTCGCTTTCCCGACGCGACCGGGAGAAAATCTCTTTACCCCGGAGATCATTCTCTCTTGCATCGTCTCTTCTTGCTTCGATCGATACTTCGCTGGCACTTCGTGGTTATTGGCTGTTCTCTCTCAGCTGACAACCCCGTTATAAACCCGACGCGTCTCGCGTTTCACGTCAAAAATCGGTTTTGCGTTTTCCACGGTGTAACGTGGATTATTCCCCGTGGTGGTTGCCGCGCGTATAACGAGTTATTTCCAAAGTGAATTTAATCGCGCCGGTTTCGCACGGATTCTTTTTCTCGTCGTCGTCGTCATCGTCGTCGTCGTCGTCGTCGTCGTCGTTACGGTCAAGATAGATTTCGCGTTCGAGAAAGTATTAACGAGCTCTTTTACTCAAGACGTTTTACTTCTAACGAGTAATTAGGAGGTAGGAATTTAAATTATCGATTTTGCGAGAAAATTACGAAGATCTCCGCACTTTTTCCCGAAACGTAATGTAAATTTACGAAACGAATAATAAAAGATGCAACGGAGATTTTTCCGAAGCGGAAAGTGGAAAAAGAGAGAATTTACGACGCAGCTGTGTGAGTTAATTCCCGATCGCGGGAGTTTTATGAAAGATTCATAGCTAAACAAAACAAAAACAAAAAAATGTAAAAAAGAAGATCGAAAGCAGTGCGGAGCGCACGTGTAATTTATACACCGGGTGTATTTTTCGCGCGCGAGCGCCGGAACGACGCGTCGTTCGAATTTTCTCTATCACGTGGTAGATGTGCGTGTCCCCCCCGCGCCCCTTTCTCGTAATAAACTTCGGATTTCACAATCTACGTAATTTTATTAAATCACGGAGCAATTTTATTAACCGCGCTGCTCTTCGAGTCCGCGATTCATCATTCGGAGCGCGTAAAACTCTTGATAATTCTGACCAAACTTGTAGAGTACATTTTCGAGAACTCGAGAGATTAACATACATTGCATTCCGAATCAGTCGATCGGAAGATATCGACCTTTAGAAGAAACTCTTTTAGAGAAAATGTGTGTTTGTTGTTGTTGTTGTTGTTGTTGTTGTTGTAGAGCGGAGTTTCCTTCTCCCGCGCGTGTTCTCCACGAAATATCTCCGATAAGAAGGATGTACTCTCCGCAATCTTTGAAATTGTTTCATGAGAGAGAGAAGCTGTTTGCGAAGCTGTGTTTGCGTAAATTGTCGGAATTATTTATTTCGTAGTTGAGAAATGTATGTGAAATATTTAATATATATAAATCTTTTTTTGGAAATATTTCGCGTGGACAACGAGATTTCAGGAACTCTACGTTTTAGAGAGTTACATGTATATCGTTGTGACGTGACCACGAAAATATTATGTAGATAACGCGTGGAATAAGAACTAGGTGTAATAAGAGAGCGAAGAGCCGGTCGTCAATCTAGATAAAACATAGAAACACGCTACGTTCTTTCACCGTTGTATCATCACATTCGCGCGTTATCTCCGCGCAAAGGCTATATACGCAACGGTTTAAACGCACAATTCTCTCGTCTAGCGCGAGTTCGAATATAAAAATACGAAAAATATTATTAAATAACGCATTACGATCTTTCTCTCTTTCATTCGTTACCGACAATGCGGTGTTTCGTTATTGACGACAAATTATTTTTTCCAAATTCTAATTTTGCCGAGAAATTATTGTAATAATTACAAATGTTGTATAAAAATTCTCCAAGTAAATACTTGGAGAAATACGATAAATTTGTTTAAAGAACTCTGAATATTTATTTTTATATATTGTGTGTTACGTCAACGTGCAGTTAACAAATACTACAATATATTCGCTTTTAATTAATCGGGACAATAGGGTGAGACTGCTATTGTCATCGCGGGATTATTAATTCAAGCAAATTGTTCTCGTCGGAGAGAAGCTTGACGACTGGTGACCTCGCACCAGAAATAAATATGCTATGAATGCTTCTCGCGATCCGTCATCATCGTAGACTTTAGTCGTGTGTATTTTATAAATTGTCTCCACACAACGCGTTGCGTAAGAAACACGCTCTCTCTCGTTTGACGACCGGCGCGCTTGCACAAGCGTATTTTGCAGATTTTAATAACATAGTATATTAAAAAATAAAAAAAAGATAAAAACACGAGCGCGCGACTACATATATTGTAACGAACGTGACTTTATAGTAAGCATTTCTACTGAAAGTAGAAAGAGTGTCCAATATTACATCTCTCGCAACTGACCAACTCGATAGATCGCCATATGTATGTATCGTATAATCTTCTTCTTTATTTGTAAATTGAAAATAAAGTATTGTACGCACACTGAACTCTCGCATTGCGTTTTCTCTTCTACTTTTTTTTGGTCACCATAATACACATATGAGAAGTGTCAGAAAATAACGCATGAAAATCAACCTCGAAAACCTAGTGAGAGTAAAGAGTGGAACATAACAACACGTCTCGAGACTTTCCTTTAATCACGTGTCTTTAAAAACATGATTAAAATAAAGTCACGTGACGGGGTGGAGAAAAAAAAACAGAACGTGACTAAAGTCACGTGTCTTTAAAAACGTGATTAAAATAAAGTCACGTGACAGGGAAAAGAGGAAAAACAACGCGCGACTTTACTTTTGCCACGTGTCTTTAAAAATCGGATATTAATGTCACATATATATTCAACGTTGTCTAAGAAACGGCATTAGATTGTGTAAAACCAAGGAATGCGTAGATCGCGCGTTTGCGACATATTTACAGAATACAAGAAACAAAAAAAAAAAAAAAAAACGCGGTATTACAAGAGTACGGCGCGAGTCTTAACATCGAAGAGATGCCGACAGACATCCTCTTGTTGCGGGAAGAGTAGTAGTGGAAAGAAAGGTGTATAGTACAATGACGCTCAACTCTGCGATATACAGGCTTTGTACATTTATTGTGTAAATTAATTAACATTTCAAAATAATCATAATGCTATTTAATAATTTGTATTTTTGTTGTGATGCCACAAACACACCTGGACAATTGACCATACCTATCTAAGTAATGTACAGCTTAATTATTCTTAACGAAGATTAGTACCGACTCTCTCTTGTACACTTAGCTACCGCAGGAACTGTCGTAACAACGAATGAAAAATAAAGAGTTGAGCTGCCTCTCTTTGACGATTAGCTCCCGTTATTAGATCCTACTGTGTGCCCTTCTCTGTCTTTGTTTGCTATTAAATATTGACGTTTCTTTTTTTTTTTTTGCACTATCTCCGTTTACAATATATAAGGAACAGAAGAATTTATATGTGAAAAACATTCAAGCTTCTCTCTCTGTATAATCCTATATCGTATCGAATGCGCATATTAACTTACATCTATTTTACGTTTATTTTTGTTTTACTCTCTTGTTGTAATGTGGTATAAATTTTCTTTTTTTGGACACTTGGGCGTTGCTCTCTCTGTCAGTTCACAAATGTTCGAGAATGTACAAATATTTTTCTTTTAAACAATGCCAATATAAAAATATCTGTTTTTTTTTTTTTTTTTTTTTT